CAAGCTTAGGCAAATTAGAGCGTTTGGACCTTAGCCACAATAACTTGAGCGGTGTGCTATTGAAAGAACATTTTTCTGGTTTAGGCAACTTAAAGGTATTGGAGCTCAGCTACAATAACTTCAGCAGTGTGAAAGAACAATTTGCAAGCTTAGGCAAATTAGAGCAATTGGACCTTAGCCACAATAACTTGAGCGGTGTGCTATTGAAAGAACATTTTGCTGGTTTAGGCAACTTAAAGGTTTTGGAGCTCAGCTACAATAGCTTCAGCAGTGTGAAAGAACAATTTGCAAGCTTAGGCAAATTAGAGAATTTGAACCTCAGCCACAATATCTTCAGAGGTGTGCTCTTGAAAGAACATTTTGCAAGTCTGGGCAACTTAAAGCTTTTGGACCTCAGCTACAACAAATTCAGTGGTGTGCTCTTCAAGGAAGATTTTGCAAGTTTAGGTAATTTGGAGCATTTGGACCTCAGCTATAATAACTTCAGTGATTTTCTTTTGAAAGAATGCTCAACAAGTTTAGTTAATTTAAAGCATCTGGATCTTAGCCATAATAAATTAGATAGTGTGCTCGTGGAGGAGCATTTTGCAGGCCTATTGAATCTAGAGTATCTGGACTTGTCGTACAACTCTTTGAGATTTGCTATCGACAAAAAATGGATCCCTCCCTTTAGATTGAAAGTTGCAAGATTTCGGTCATGCCTACTAGGCCCCAATTTTCCAGAATGGCTTAAATCGCAATCAAACATTGAGGTTCTTGTTCTCAGTAATGCGAATCTGGATGACATTATTCCTGATTGGTTTTGGGTGACATTTTCCCAAGCTTCATTCCTGCAAGCATCAGGAAACAAATTGCATGGCTCATTACCGGCACAGTTGCCTATAAATATAGTACGACTGAACCTATCTTCAAACTCTTTATCTGGTTCATTGCCATCAGAGTTAAATGCTCCACTACTCGAAGAGTTGTTGCTTGCAAACAATCAATTCATAGGCACCATCCCATCGTCTATATGCCAATTGACTAAACTGAAAAGGTTGGACCTATCAGGAAACCAGTTAACAGGAGATATTATGCAGTGCCAAAAGGAACTTGTTCCAAACTCTACAGATCAATTTGGCTCTGACATGCTGAGCTTAGCCTTGAATAACAATGATCTCACTGGTGAATTCCCTAAATTTCTTCAAAGGTCATCAGGATTAATGTTCCTTGATCTTTCTTACAACAGGTTATTTGGAGGATTGCCAGAATGGTTACCCCAAAAAATGCCACACTTGAAAATATTAAGAGTGAGATCAAATATGTTCAGTGGTCATATTCCTAAGAGTCTCACTTCCCTTCATGGTCTTCATTATTTGGACATAGCACATAACAAGATAACAGGAAGCATACCATGGTCTTTGTCAAATCTGAAGGCAATGATGACAGTGGTGTCACATGACACGGGGGATTACATATATGAAGAAAGCATCCCAGTAATCACAAAGGACCAAAAGCGTGACTACACCTTTGCAATTTACCAGCTCCTGGTAGTTCTTGATCTGTCAAGTAATAGTTTGGCAGGACAGATTCCAAAGGAGATGCCTTTACTCATTGGGCTTACCAATCTGAACTTGTCAAACAACCACCTCACAGGAGCAATCCCAAACAAAATTGGTGATTTAAGGCAGTTGGACTCACTCGACCTATCCTTTAATGAGTTTTCTGGTTCAATACCATCAAGTTTGTCAGCTTTAACTTATTTGAGCCACTTGAACTTGTCATACAACAATCTGTCCGGTGCAATACCATCCGGACAACAACTACAAGCTCTTGATAACCAGATGTATATCTACATCGGTAACCCTGGTCTTTGTGGAGATCCTGTCAGCAGGAACTGCTCAACACATGATGCAGAGCAAAGTGCCCTCGAAGATATAGATCATATACCATCTGTTTATCTTGCCATGAGCATTGGATTTGTGGTGGGTCTGTGGACAGTTTTCTGCACCATGTTGATGAAGAGGACATGGAGGGCTGCCTTCTTCCAGTTTGTTGATATGATGTACGACATGGTTTATGTGCAAGTGGCTGTAAGGTGGGCTCACATGATGGAGAAAACTCAAGACGGTGCACCATGAAGTGCCCAACTCTGCTGCAGCCGAATTTTTTGTATCCATATGCTATTTGTATGTTTGCACCATATCTCTATTTGTAACCCTAAAGGGGTCTTGGCTGGACGTATGTATTGTACCGATGTATTGGTATTTTGTATGTTTTGTACTGTAACAAATGAAGTGTATATGTTTGTGGATTATTTAAGCTGAAGTCAGCCATTGTTCGCTCTTCGCTGTGCACTGCACGGAGAAAGATACAGCCCCATATGGGCACTCTGCCTTTTTCGTGTTCTTCAGTTTGCGTTGTACATTCCCGAAGAGTAATAATTCATTGGCATAGAAAAAAAATGACACCAGTTGGTCAATATGTGAACAGACTTGTTTGTAAGGCATACAAGATATATCAAGATTCAAGAGGCAAGAGGTAGAAAGCTTTGTTCACCATCAGTGCTAATCTGAAGCTGCCATTTGAGCTGACATTTTTTACTCGACTCGACCATGCCCACCGAGGGTGTGTTTGCCAGTGGAGAAGCTCAAGGTGCCGACCAGTTCAAGCCCTTGGAGCAGGCGACCCTGGAGCCCTTTGATCACGACCATGCCTACATCGTTGGGGTTACAGGATGCCCAAGAAGCAAAAGTGAAGTTAAGAAGAAGAAAAGAAATGGCTATGTAATTTCTACAGTCTCTTTCATGACAGAGATTTAATTTGGGGTATATTTGCACTTTGGGAAGGTGCCATCATGAATGTTTGCATGATCCCATGCCTGTGCTAGTTTCTGCTTTGTTATGTGCAAAAATCAAGATGTGTGTTTACAGCAGCCAGCAGTCTGCGGAAAGTACTGACTCGTGTTACAACACCAAGGAACAAGGACAAAACTATGAGGAACTGTGTTGTAAGTGTAACAGGAGCACCACTGAATTTCATACTGGCTGTTGTGACAGATTATTTTGTACCATCCAAATCCCATAGTCAACACATCTTCAGGCATTAAACTTGTTTCCAGGGGAAATCTTCGGAACAGAAAACGAACTGAAAAGTGTAAAACAATGCTGAAAGTACGCGCTCCCGGTTTCACATGCAAACAAGCAAAAGCAGATGTATATATAAGGGTCTCTGTTTGAGCAAAGCACCTCCCAAGATCAGCAGAGTGCTCGAGGTTCGGCCAGTCTGGTGACATTGACATGGCACATGGACAGAAATCAAGAACCACCAGGTGCTCCCAAAGTGTATGGATCGAACGAACACTAAAGCCTCGAATCAGCTCCTCGGGCATCAGTCCCAAATCAGCTCAGCAGAGAGATGCTCTGCTTTCTATCGTCATCTAGAAAATGGGATTCTGAATCGACAAATTCAGGTTGTTTACTGAATAAGGTTGTTAACTGCACCCAGTGCCACAAATTCATGTTGTGTGTGATGCCAAGTCTGATCACAGAACTTAGCTTGTGGTATCAGTATCACACATCCAAAATACCTATAGCTAGTACATAAACCCTTTGATGTATACATGACTTCCAAATTAATTCTCTCTCGAACACTACAGTACATTCAGTGCAGTCACAAACACGCACGGAACATATGGAGAATACATGCTTTAAGGTGATGCAAAGTTTGAAGTTGGGGAGCACATCTGGTTCTTCCCACCTCATGCGAGGAGGCAACATCCATCGCGACAGAAGTAACCACCGGCAATGGCCATGGAAAGTGGAGACACAGCACTGACCAGGAGTGTCTTTCCAGACTTCTTGACGCCGAGATCCCATGACTCTAGCACGGCCGATGTTGCTCACAGTATCTACATGAGGAAATAGCCATCGCTTAACCACAAATTGACATATTGTGAAACAGGTGCATTATATGACACAGTAAAATTATGTTAGATATTTTAGTCTTCTTTCCCGCTTCAGTTTGTGCTAGTTCCTAATCTCCTGTTTCTTTCTATAACCCTGTTACCTTGCTCTTCCTTCTCAAGCCTAGCCTAGCAGTCTGATCTACCCTATCATCTAGGAACCACTACAAAAGCAACCGCACCATGGGCTCACAGTGGGTACTCAAATCAAATCGAAAGCTATTTCTATTTTTTTATCAAGATCGATCGATTAACCGAATCTAATACATTTCTGTATTGCTCTTGCATGAATCCACTAACAACAATGAGGTTGATCATTCAGGTCAAACATTCAAATAGCGTAGGGGATTTCTGTGTGCAATCTCTACAATCAAATCTGAAAGCAAAATGGCGCTATAGAATGCACTAGCCGCAGGTGCATTTCTTGGATCTGTGAAAGGCCCGCAGAATGTACATTAGATACACAAGCAGCATCTCTGTAGTACTATTACAGCACAAATGATACCATATGAGAGAATCCGTACAGATTATATGGTGTCCATTGCCACCCTGCTATCTTCAACTAGGAAAGACAGTGCAAAACCATTCTCAACTGTTTGGGCCTCGCACTTTTCTTTTTCCTGAAAATATCAAATACTACAAGAGACACATTCCGGTCAGTGTCTGTCTTTGCTCCCTCTGAAGAATTAATTAGGAAGCCGCGTATTAAGGAGGTGATATGAATCCATTGTTGGAAGTGATCGATCATATATTTCTGAGGAAAATCAACAATGCTATGGTAAGGAAACAAGTCTAGCTAGCAACCCAGAACATAGCAGAGGCGGATCCGGCTTGCCTGCTCCCTCCTCATGCTCCCATCCGTACTCCCACTTCATCCTACGGCTGTCTTTTCCCTTTTTCCTTTCTAATCTAATCATCCCCCCTGATTTTAAGGAGGTGGGGCCGGGCCTTATTTTGTCCAATCAAATCAAGCCACATATCCGGGAGCACGGATCGGCACACGGGGAGGGAGCAGGCAAGTCTCGTCCAGCAGAGGCAACAGAAGATATCAAGCACATTGATGGTACTGTCTAAGACGTTTCTTTAACCAAATAAAATGATTGATATTTTTAAGCATGGATGGACTAAAAAACTGCAGTGCAGGCAGCAGGCTCAAACAAAGCAGCCGGCGTCTCCTCCCAGCTCCACCGACGACCGCGAGTGTGGCGACGGCGGAGCGAGCAGAGCCGCCGGCATCAATGGATTTGGGGCCCATGTTATACCGGCCCCACCCATCAGGCCCTCTAAAACGGAGGCGCAGGTTGTGCGCACACGCCGTCGAGCTTTGCAGCTCCCAACCTCGCTACTGTTAGACGATCAGAAATTTTGACTTACTTAATTACCTAGCCCCCGCGTCGCTCCCGCAGGGGTGACTCGGGCGGCGTAACCCTAGGCCGCCGCCGGCCCTCTCCCACACCTCTCCTCTCCCTCGTCGTCACCGGAGGTGGCCGCCGGCTCGCCGCTCGGCTGTCGGTGAAGGTGGTGGCGAGGATCTGGCCGCCCCGTTCTTCCTCGGGGGGCTTTGGATCCGTGGCGGCGGCCTCGGCTGGTGGATCGACGCCGGGTCTGCGGTGACCGGTGCTCGTTGGTGCTGGCCGTTCTTCCTCGGCCGCGGGGGCGGCGAGGCGACGGCAGGTGGCGGCTGTGGCGCGGGCGTCTCGGCGGCACCCGATCCAGATCCGAAGGCCTCCGTCTACTTCAACCAGGGCTGCCTCCGATGGTCCTGCTTTGGGCGGCCTTTGTCACCAGAGTTGTACCTGTTTGGCGGCTGGAGGTGGGAGGTGGCTTCGGAGAAATCCGAGGCCAACAATGCTGGCCACGACGGCGGCGACGCCCGGGGGCGCCATACCCTTCTTGTAGGCGCCGTCTAGGTTGCCTCCTTCCCCTCTTCCTTCCACCCAGCTCGTATGTCGGGCGAAAGCCCAAATCCTTGCCGGATCGAGCGACAGCGGCGCTCCGGGCATCGTTACCCTCTTGGGGGTGTCGTTCGTGGTGAGCTTTTGGGGTGGATGTGATGCTTTGGTTGCTTGGCGGCGGTTGGTGGCATGGTCGGAGTTCGTCTGGTGGAGGTGCGTTGGCGCTCTGCCGCCTATGTGCTCAGCCTCGGAGTCCTTCTTCCACGGTGGTTGGTCTTCAGCAGCCCTGCCAGACTCGGCGGAGCGGTGCTTCATCCTACTCATTGATGGCGACGTATCTCGGCGGCGTGGCATAGTGGAGATTCGGCGTCCGATGTGTGGCGATGGACTCGCGCAGGAGGACGAAGCTATCTAGTGTTGTGGTGACGTCGATGGCTGAGTGGCCAAACAAGGTAGAAGCCTCAATATTTGCTCTGAAGACGGGCCCGTGGAAGCTGGCGGCGATGACACACGAGTGCATCAGACCGGTTTGTACCCCAGACCCGGTATGTGGCTCGGTTGGGGCTTCCGACTTTTGATGTTAGGCTTAGATGAGTGGTCTGGGTAGTGGCCCAGCTAGCACCCCTTCATCATTTTGATGTTAGGCTTAGATGAGTGGTCTGGGTAGTGGCCCAGCTAGCACGCCTTTATCATTTGGATAGGAGTAGCGGCAAATGTTGCCAAGATGGCGGATTCAGGCGTATTGTTGTAATACTTTGTAAGGTCCTCAAGAATAATCAATAAAGTGGCCGCATGCATCTCCCAGATGCAGAGGCCGGGGGTCATCCTCCTTTTCTAAAAAAACCTCGCTGCTGCGACCGGTGGACGACGTTCGGTCTGCAGTCGAGCGGCCTGAGCGGCGCCGTCCGTGGTGGGGCGGATGGGGAGCAACACGCACCTGTAGGACGATCCCGACGACGCCTCCGCACCGCTCGGACAGGTGGTCAAGTTTTGGCGGCGTGGTCGTCAGAGGTGAGGAAGATAGTTTCTCTGTCTTCAACTTCATCCTGCCTGCGAGGGGTTGCTGCCTCGTAAAATGCGGCTACAATTACTGCTTCGTCAATTAAATTCATGTTGTGATCATTGCATATTAGGATCAAATGCAAATTTATGGATGCTTGACCTAAACCATGAATTTGCTGACACTGCATATTTGATATGTAAGCAGAAGCTTTTATTGTGACATTGTGGGCAGATATAATGCATGACTGCATAGTTTTGAAGAATTTGTTGGTAGATTGTTTTGGGCTAAGTCCCTCCACATGGAGGTGTGTTGGCAGTCCAACATCAGCCCATAAGTCCAACACATGTCAGCCGTTGATCCTCGCTGCATCCAACGGTTGAGAGCGCTTCCAAGGGAAGTGAAGCAAGAAGAAAACCCTAGCCACTCCACCCCTTGCTGGTGGTGGCTGCCATTCGTGAGAGTGTGAGAGAGAGCACACAAGAGAAAACACAACCTGAGAGAGAGGAAGAAGAAGAAGCAGAGGTTCTGTCCAGATTTGCTGCATTTGACTAGACAGTGTTTAAGCTGGTGTTTGGAGGTTCAAACGTTCCTGGATCGACCCCAAACTTGGTGAGCTCGTTCCTTACTTTGAGTACTTCGATCTGGTTAGCAGGTTTGAGGATTGGGTCAGTGGAGCATCAGATTTGAGAGTGGTTTTGTCAGCTCTGACTGCTGCAGTTTCAGAACAGAGTAGTTTTGGGAGACGAACAGTTTGGGTAGGCAAACGATGTCCAGTTGAGATGAAATTTGGAGGGTATCTCAAGAACTCGTGTGTCTACTTGTCTGCCAAATTTGGTGCTGTTTGGTTCAGCGATTTAAGAGCAGTTTGCAAAACACTGAAGGGTACAGAAGGGTACGAACAGTTTGTGGCTGTTGTTGCTGTTGCCGGTTGGCAACGTGGAGAGTGTGTTGTAAATCTCTCTCTAGAGGTTCTAGAGAAGACTTTGTACTCATCATTCTCATAATGAAGTTGTGTGGACCGGTCGGTCCACAACCGTGGTTTTTTACTCCTTAAGTTGAGGAGGTTTTTCCACGTTAAATCCTGTGTCACTTGTGCATGTTGTTTGTGTTATTCCGCTGCTTACTTGTTGGTTGAAGCTGTCCTCAAAGTTCATCACAAGTAGAGGGGGCTGTGTAGTGTGCATATTTGCCGTGCCAGTGAATTTGTGCAGCGCATTGTTGCTGTCCAGCCCCAACAGATTGAACCGTATTTTAACTTCTGATTTCATCCCATGAAGTGTTTGATGAATTGATTATGTGGATTATATAGATGAAGATGTGGTAGATTTGTAAATGGCAACAAATCACCCAAATTTTGGATCTATTGACCATACATAAACATTTTCTTTTCTTATATATTTGTGTGCTTCAGGGTTCAGTCTTCCTTATATTTCAGAGTGGTCGCAGCGTGCGAAATGGCCAATGAGAGAGGTGGCTAGAGGAGATATTGACCCCGAGGCAGAGCATCCTCTGTTCCCTCACATCAGGGGGTGCCAGCTCCGGTGGCGACAGACGGTGCTTCTTCGATGGTTGGCGGCTAGGCAGAGACGTTGTCGAGGAAATCTGATGAACGGCGGCAAGTACAACAGGCTCCCTACACCTGGATCTTATTGGCCGTGCCACAAGCAAGGCGCTACCCATGGCTTCTGTAAAGATCTATGCGTTGTTGCCTAATTTTTTTTTTGAATTTTCA